TCTTTAATTTTGGGAAATTTTCTTCCATGATTCTGTTGAAGATCTGGTCATGCCAATTATCTTGGGATTATTTTCCTCCCTGTATGCCTATGGTTTGTAATTTTAGTTTTTATTGTGTCGCACAATTCCTGCACATTCCATTCTTGTGATTTCTTAAATTTTTCATAATCTTTGCTTGAGTGGTCTAGTTCGTCCACTTTATCTTCCAGTCTTGATTCTCTGTTTTCCATTTCATTCATCCTATTGGTGAGGCTTTCTCCTGTCGTTTCTAATTGGCTTACTGAGTGTTTCACTTCCTTCTTCATTTCAGCCTGAGTATCCTTCAATATTTCTAACTCTTTTCTGAATTCATTCAGAAGTTTATCCCTATCTTCCTTCAGTTCTTTGATTTCTTTGTGTGTTCTTTAAGTTCACTGAATTCTTTTATTATAATTGTTCTTTTGAGTTCCATGTCCTGCATTATCTATAGGTGGTTTTCATTGTACTCCTCTAGAAGACTGGACTATTGATATTTGGTGGGGATATTTATTTTGGTTTTTCATGTTATTATTTTTTCTCTGTGATTTTGACATGTGGATTTCTTTTGTAGTTTCTGATTCTTGTGTAAGACTCAATCCTTCAAGTTTAGGTCTGCTTTTTTTGTGTGAACTTTATATGGTTTTTCTAAGCTTCCCACTCTCTCTTTTGATTTTATATTGGAGTGGCCAGATTGCTTTTTTCTTCAGGAGTTCCCACAGAGGCCCAAGTCAAATGAGGTTCCGATGCTCTCAGGCTTTCTCCTAAGGTCTGGATCCCTCCAGGAAAGATTTTGGCCTCAGGAATGTGGGGGTTGGCCTGGTCTGGGATTCAGGCCCAGGAAAGATGCTAGTCTAGGGCAGCTGGTGGTCATGCCACCCAGAGATGCAAAGGCAGATGGGTGCGGAAAACAGCCCCAAAGTCTCCTGGGGACTGCACTGAGGAGCTGGATTGGTCTGAGTGCAAAGGATCTGGAGGAGGAAAGGTCAGCCCTGGCATCTAGGAAAGAAGCTGGCAGGTGGTGCAGGCCCAGGGAAGTAGATCGAGGTGAGGTTGGAGCCAGGCCCAGAAGCAGTGCTCCTGGGGACCCGAGAAGGCACTGAGTTGGTCTGGATGAAAAGGATCAGGAAGCAGTGGTGGTTCCCCTGGTGTCTGGGGCCCCAAGACAAGGAATGGGATTTGACCCAGACTAGGAGGAGAGACCAGCAGCGGAGATTTGAGGGTGAATGAGGCTGGGGGGGCAGGGTCAACGTGTGGAAGATGGGATGGACTTACCCTGGACAGAGGCCTGCTGGTAGGAGAGAGGCCTGCAGTGGGCCTTTCAAAGGAAGCAGTGGTGGTTCCCCTGGTGTCTGGGGCCCCAAGACAAGGAATGGGATTTGACCCAGACTAGGAGGAGAGACCAGCAGCGGAGATTTGAGGGTGAATGAGGCTGGGGGGGCAGGGTCAACGTGTGGAAGATGGGATGGACTTACCCTGGAGAGAGGCCTGCTGGTAGGAGAGAGGCCTGCAGTGGGCCTTTCAGGCCCAGGGAAGCAGAGGGAGGTGAGGGTGGAGCCAGGCCCAGAAGCAGTGTTCCTGGGGACCAGAGAAGGCACTAAGTTGGTCTGGATGAAAAGTATCAGGAACAGTAGTGGTTCCCCAGGTATCTGGGGCCCCAAGACAAGGAATGGGACAGGAGCCAGGCCAGGAGGACAGACTGGCAGGGGAGATGGGAGGGTGAATGAGGCTGGGGGAGTCAAGGCACAGAGGGTGCAATGGACTTACCCCAGAAAGAGGCCTTCGGGTCTAATCATGAAATATTTTATTAGCTGATTTAAATAAAAATTCTGTCTACTGCACTATGTACATTTCTTAAAGAATATAATCATGAAAATAGAATTCTATCATCTAGAAATACACATTGCAAGTGCAAGGTTGACATGATCAAGTGCACCATAGGCATGTATGAACATGTTATTCATTAGTTAATATAATTAACATGCACTAACAAAAAATATGCCTCAGTATTAGAAACAATACTTTTATGACATTTCTTTCTCTTTGTGGATTTTCACTAATTTGTATTGAGTTAATTTTGTGCATTTGTTTCTACTTGTAAGTTTCAGATGACTCTGAGTGTGTTTTATGGACAAATATCCTTAGCTTTGGTGTTTGTAAGTATTCTCATCACATTTTTACTGTAGAGACAGGGGCAATTTGAAAACCTTCTCACCTGGCTTACACTCTAGAGGTTTATATACTGGAATAACAGAACGCATCTCCACAGTTCCCCCACTTACAGTTGCTCTCCAATGTTCAGCCTCATGTGGTCTGAAAAGTTGTAAAAGAAATGGAAGCTTTCTTACATCACACATTTAAAGAATTTCTCTCCTGAATTTTATGTGAATTTAACTGAGTGGTTTATTCGTTTCTATCCTTGTTGCTGTGATAAAATATCTGAAAAAGCAATTTATGGAAGGAAAGGTTTATTTTGGCTCAGAGTGCAAGGGTACAATCCCTCGTGGCAGGGAAGACACCCAGCCAGGAGCATGACACAGCATGACGTTGCAGCCATAGAAGCAGAGAGAACGGAAACCTTTTGTTCTGCTAACCTTCTCCTTTGTAAGCAATCCATGGACTGATGCTGCCACATTCAGGGCGGGGGTTTCACACCTCAATTAACCTAATCTAGAGAATCTCTCACAGGTATTCCCAGATGCTAACCTAATCTAGACACTCCCTCACTGACATGCCCACAGGGTTGTCTCCTAGGTGATTCTACATCTTGTCAAATTAACAATCAATATTGGCCATGACAACTTTACCACTTGGTATATGCATCACTTTTGAGCCATAACATCCCACTCCTTCTTCCCATCATCTTACATCCATCTCATAAAGCAAATTGCATTCAGTTCAGCTTAACAAGTCCCAACAGTCTAACAATTCCAAAACTGCTTAAAGTCTAAGTCTCATCCGAAGCTTAAGGCAATCTCTTAACTCTGAACCCTCATAAAACCTAATGTTTAATAATGTGCAGAGAATAAACATTCCTGCTCCAAAAGGAAGTCTGAGAACATAGCCAGGAATGCTCTGACCAAAACAAGTCAGAGACTCAGGTCAGACACCACATCCTGCAGGCCCATGTCTGGCAGCTGAGACGTGTGATGGAATAGTTTTTGCTCCAAAGGGCTTAGTAGGCCTACCTGTCCAGTTCTGCTTCCAGCAGCACAGTCTGTCTCCTGAGCCAGCTCCACTCCATGCACATAGTATTCCTTGGTGAATATCCAATGATTCTGTCATCCCCAACATCCCGGGGGCTCCACTATAAATCAGACTTCATCGCAGCTTCACAAAAGTGGCCTCACAGCCTCCTTGCAGGGGCTCTGACCCTCCCCCACACGCTTGACCTCAGCGGCTTTCTGCGGTCACAGCCTCTCCATCTTACATTTTCAGAGCAGCTGAGTGAAAGTTCCAGGGAAAGCAGGTGGAGTTTGCAGTATATTTGGACTCTGAGTTTTGCCACTGTCCAACAGAAGAATAAGGACCACGGTTCCATCTTGGAAAGCAACATTTATAATGCTACTAATCATGTCTCTTGATTATAATTCAGAAAAATGAATCACATTGTAAGGTGACATTTTTCTGATTAGTCTCCCGTAGCCTAATAACAAGTATAGTCAAGAAAGCACACAAAGACCAGTCAACTCAGATTCAACCCGAGAGCTGCAAAAACCAGTTTGAGCTGCAAAAGGTTGGGAATTCTAGCCTACAAGAAACATGAGTCATTCTCCTGCTCAAAGCAGAGAAGCAAAACCCAATTAAGGATGGAGTTTTTGTGCTTTTTTGTATTTATGAGTTTGTTCACTGAGTGAAAAGTGCTGGCTTAGTTACCATCAGTCCGGAAACAAGCCCATCAGATGGCCACAGGATGATCTGAAACGGAAAGCTCCCAGGAAACAGCTTTTGGAATCACACATTAATTTCTGAGGAAGGGGAAGAATTTTCTGAGGGCTGTTTTGACCTCCTTGTTTCTCAAAGTGTAGATCAGAGGGTTGAGAGTAGGGCTCAACATGGTGTACAGCACACTGGCCAACTTGCTTTTCTCTGCACTGTAGCTGGAGACAGGACTTATATAGGCATAGAAGACAGCAGTGTAATACATGCACACCACGGTGAGGTGGGAAGAGCAGGTGGAGAAGGCTTTCTGCTTGCCCTCTGAGGGCCGCATCTTCAGGATGCTGAAAATGATGAAGCCGTATGACACAATGGTCATCAGGAAGGTCAATATACCATAAAAGGCATCAGCCAAAACAATCATGACACTGTTGACATAAGTGGAGCTACAGGAGAGAAGGAGCAGAGGAGGCACTTCACAAAAGAAGTGTATAATGACATTAGGGCCACAGAAATTCAAGCGCATCATCAGTCCTGTGTGAATAGCTGTGTTGAAGGCACAGAGAATCCACACTCCAGCAGCCAGCATGCTACAGAATGTCCTGCTCATGATGGTGCTGTAATGCAGGGGGTGGCAGATGGCGGCATACCGGTCATAGGCCATGACCGTGAGGAGGAGCAGCTCTGAGGATGCAGCCCAGGTAAGGAAATAGAGCTGAGCCATGCAGCCCCCATAGGAGATGGGGTTCCTCTCCGACACCAGACCCTCTAGGGCCTTGGGCATAATAGCGGAGGTACAGATGATGTCCATAGTAGCCAAATTGAACAGGAAAAAGTACATGGGGGTGTGGAGCCCAGAGTTGCAGGTGACAGCCAAAATGATAAGGGCATTACCTGCAAGGGCCACAGAGTAGAGAGAGAGGAAACAGCTGAATAAGAGCAGCTTGTATTCAGGGTGTTCAGAAAAGCCCTGCAGGATGAACTCTGTCACAAGTGTCTGGTTATCCATGGCCCTTGGCTGAGAAGGACTTCAGAGACGATAAGGCGATTCTCCACCCACAGCTTCATGAAATTTGAGGGCTAGAAAAAGAGATGAACCTTTTCATGAAGGAAGTCTGTTGTTTGTTTCCTTCACCTCTGAAGCCATGACGTGAATGACAGAATAGAGACACAGTGGGATATGCTGAGACAAACATCTCGCAGTTCCATAATCAAAGAATAGCAGCATTCGGGTCACAACAATAAATGCAAACCACCAGTCAAATTCTTGAAGTATCAATCTCAGTCAAAGATATGCAAATGAAATCCGTGCTCTGTTCTGTCATCCATGATTTGATTAATTTATGAAGTCGATCAATATTCACATGGCTTCAAGATGTGGCCCTTTCAAAAGAGGTATCCAGTCAGGAATGCCATTGCATTCGTGAACTCACAGCAATTGCAACAGCATGCACAAGTCCTAACAAGCTCCAGCCAGACAAATTCCCAGCATAGAGGGCAGGAGGAGGTAAAAAGCCCAACTCTAGCTGAGGACCTATTGACAACTGATAGTTGCTGGGAGAGGGAGAGTCAGTTTTCTTTAAGGGTGGTATGTTGGGTGGCTTGACCAGGCTCCAGGAGAGAGACCCACATGGAAGGGCATGTGTGGACACAAACTTGATAGTCCTTAAAAAAATAAAAGACATTAAATCAGATGGGGGACTGTAGTAAAGTGGGAGAGGGATCTGAACAAGATCAAAATGCAGTGTATAAAAATTTCAAAACTTCAATAAACATTTTTTGTTCTTTTTGAGACATGATCCCTGTAGCTCTCTTTTTGAGACAGGGTCCCTGTACCCCCAGCTGGCCTGGAACTCGCTATGTAGACCAGGATAGCCTCCAACTCACAGAGGTCCACCTGCCTCTACCTCCCAGGTGCGGAGATCACAGGTATGCACCATCATGCCTGGCTTAAAAATATATTTTTTTAAAACAGCTGCTTTCCAGGGCTGGGAAGAGAGCTCTCTCAGTTGGTGATTTTCCTGTCAAGTACAAAAGCTCGGGCTTTGTCCTAGTATACAAGCCTGGTATGGTGGCAAGGGTTCCTGATCCCAGGACTGGGAAAGTGGAGAAAGAAAAACCCCTGGGAATTCCTGAAGCTACTCCTTCAGTTCTGGGCCACTTGACCTGTCTCAAGACCAAGGTGGATGGGACCTAAGGAATGATGTTCCAAGTTGTCCTCTGTCCTGTACATCACCAGCACATGCTCATATGCACACCTGCACAAACATGTGCACCAGCACACACATGCACATTCACACATACAGATATGTACACACATTCAAAATAAAATAGAAAAAAATAAGTTTTCCTTCTGAACAAAACTTTCCTCTCTGGAAATTTATTCTAGGAAAATAATGTAAAAATTCTTGTCAGAGCAATATTATTTATGGCTATAAATTTTAAACTTACCTGTATTCTGTAAGGTAAGTTTGTTATTATATATCAATATACTAATCAAAAA